TTCTTCGTCACTCGGGGGGGGGGGGGGGGGGGGGGGAGGGGGCGTGAAGTTGCAGCATGTTAGTGCCAAGAGAAGAAAGGGGTGCGGGAAGGCAAAATAGGGGTGCGGGCGTGAATTTGCAGCATGTTAGTGCCAAGAGAAGAATAATCATTCGTACATATGAATAATTAATGAGCCATAATTCCAGAACCCTTTGCCCTATAATCATGAAATTTCTTGGGTATATTTATGAAGAGTTGCTCTATGCATTTTCTTCGTCACTGGGGGGGGGGGGGGGGGGGGGGGGGGGGGGGCGTGAATTTGCAGCATGTTAGTGCCAAGAGAAGAAAGGGGTGCGGGAAGGCAAAATAGGGGTGCGGGCGTGAATTTGCAGCATGTTAGTGCCAAGAGAAGAATAATCATTCGTACAAATGAATAATGAATAAGCCATAATTCCAGAACCCTTTGCCCTATAATCATAAAATTCCTTGGGTATATTTATGAAGAGTTGCTCTGTGCATTTTCTTCGTCACTCGGGGGGGGGGGGCGTGAATTTGCAGCATGTTAGTGCCTAGAGAAGAAAGGGGTGCGGGAAGGCAAAATAGGGGTGCGGGCGTGAATTTGCAGCATGTTAGTGCCAAGAGAAGAATAATCATTCCTACATATGAATAATTAATTAGCCATAATTCCAGAACCCTTTGCCCTATAGTCATGAAATTTGTATATTTATGAAGAGTTGCTCTATGCATTTTCTTCGTCACTCGGGGGGGGGGGGGGGAGGGCGTGAATTTGCAGCATGTTAGTGCCAAGAGAAGAAAGGGGTGCGGGAAGGCAAAATAGGGGTGCGGGCGTGAATTTGCAGCATATTAGTGCCAAGAGAAGAATAATCATTCGTACATATGAATAATTAATTATAATTCCAGAACCCTTTGCCCTATAATCATGAAATTTCTTGGGTATATTTATGAAGAGTTGCTCTATGCATTTTCTTCTTCACTCGGGGGAGGGGGCGTGAATTTGCAGCATGTTAGTGCCAAGAGAAGAAAGGGGTGCGGGAAGGCAAAATAGGGGTGCGGGCGTGAATTTGCAGCATGTTAGTGCCAAGAGAAGAATTTTTCGTACATATGAATAATTAATGAGCCATAATTCCAGAACCCTTTGCCCTATAATCATGAAATTTCTTGGGTATATTTATGAAGAGTTGCTCTATGCATTTTCTTCGTCACCCGGGGGGGGGGGAGAGGTGCGTGAATTTGCAGCATGTTAGTGCCAAGAGAAGAAAGGGGAATCCGCCCCGGCTGTGAGGTGGTCAAAATAACCCGGCAACAATGTTACCAAGTGGGCAAATAGTTGTTATTTAAAGATTTGGTCAATTCAATAAAAGTGTCAGTCATGCGTAATGCGCTTGTATGTATTTAGTGTATTTTGTACACTCCATGTTCCAACCTTTAATCATCTTAAAGTTACAATTATTCCTTAAAATATAGCATAAACAGTAATTTTACTCTTCTCTTCTCTGTATTGTTTTAGTGTTAATTTGTTGTTAACAGGTATAATGAATCTATTGCGTAATGTCAGCCACGCTTATGTCAGTCACAGAGGTTTATTTGCATATTAAAAAAAATCATGAAAGTTTTGCACATTTACTACATGTGTTGGTTACCCTATAAGCTAAAATGCTCGTATGGATTTAAATACGTAGAAATTTTAACTTGAAAAGAAATTTGAAAAACATGTTTGACATTTTTTTGGTTGCATCGCTTTTTGTAATGTAAGTCACGACAGTAAACTACCACTCTAATTGGAAAAACTGAACATGAAATTTCAATTTTCAATACCGTATTGTGTATTTAGGTCCCAGTAACTCCCATGCCAAACAATGGTTCAGTTGGCTTTAATTGTTTACACATAAGAGCTGATTTGATATTCAAAATTAGTAAAAATGTAATGTCAGTGACGGTCTTAGGCTTAGTGTATTGTCATTCACAAAAAAACGATGCTTTTTCCCATAAAAGCATTCAGGATAGCAATAAAAATATGCCCTTCATTGTTTTCTTAGCACGGGGTCTAGGTATATCAACTTCTGTTGTTGACAGAAGAGGCTATTTTAATTGGGTGTTAATTTGTTTTATATTAACAGGCATATTCATTCAAAAATTCATTATTTTCCCCCCCATCTTACTACATGCGTTAGTAACCCTATTAGCTCTAATGTTCTAACGGATTTTGATCTGCAGCACTTTTAACCTGAAGAGAAATTTTAAAAACATGTTTGACATTTTTGGGTTGCATCGCTTTTTTTAATGTCAGTCACGGCACCAGTCAGGGCTCTGGAGTGCTCTGCAACGTGCAAAACTAAATCAGGCCCACTTTACTCACAGTTTAGCCAGCAAATTTCTCCAAAAATTCCACTGGGGCACAGAAAATGTCCTCAGTATTTCACCAACCAAGTTTGCAGACTCAATTCAAATTTTAAAGGAGACTTTTCTTTAATATTTTGCACATGAGAGGGAAGTCAAGTGATTTCAAAATAGGGCTAAATACTAGACTGGTACATGTTCAACCATGGTCCAACTATTTGAAAAGACTGACCTCTTCTTTCAAAGTCAATAGTCTGGTGGCTTGACTATGGAGAAATGTGTAGTAAATTGAGACTAGTTCCCGCTAGTTCCCGTTTGGGACTCTCATACACAGTATTGAGAGTTCCAAATTTTCGGACTATCACGGCACTAAACAACCCCCAAGTCAAAAAAGCTAACCATGAAATTTCAAAGATTCAATACTGTATTGTGTATTTAGGTCCTAGTAACCCCTTTGCCAAACATGGTTCAGTTGGCTGTAATTGTTTAGACATTAGAGCTGATTTGATACATGTAATGTCAGTCACGGTGGAATTGCCCAGATAATCAATTTTATCGACTGAACGATAAAATATCTTACACGCAGCACGAATGGGTTTTATGTTTAATGATTTATTGGAGTTCATGAATAGTGCATTAATGAGCGGATTGGCTAGCCCAGCAGCAACGTGGTTAGACAGAGGCAAGGTGTGGGCTGTTGTCACGTGGAGAAGACCACTTCGTTGCAGTAACTGAATGTGAAAACATCGTTATCCCGCCTCCTCCCCTTCGCCGCCTTTAAGTATTAATTATCCGAAGTATTCGGATGTAAGTGCTCTGAAGACTTTTGCTGCCTCTTAGCGGTTTCTCGGAGCTTCTTTGCGGAGTTTTTCCCAACGGGATTTTGACTCTTCATTTTGACAAACAGGAAGAGTGGGTTTACCTTGAGGGTTTTCTCACTCCGCAAAAAGTGTGGGAAAGCGCGACTGTGGTCGTGGGACAGGGTTCGGCAAGCCATATTCCAGGGTCGCTGAGCCTGTCCAGTGAAATGTGTTGACATTGATTTATAATTGTTTAATTCCAAACCTTTACAACAATAACCCAGCCTGTGCCGGCTAGGGTTTGCTTCCACGAAGTCGGTTCCGACCTCGAAGCATTCCAGTTATTTATGCCAGCGAACTTTGTGTTTCAATTAAGGAAATTACTTTAAAAGTTTCTACAAAGTGTCCTATCAATTTCGGAGCAATTTAGAAGGGGCGTGGATATACCACATGTGGTTTTCGGAGTGGGGGACCGTTATTACCCCAGGTACGGTTTAAAGTGGATCCGGAGTGGGGGCCCGGTTATGTACCCCAGGGTGCATACCGGTAAATCGATCCGCCAAGCTCATGAATAAAAGTTATACCCTCAAAATATCTATATTAGAGAGTTCTGAGCGCCGTAAAATTGGGGAATTGAAGAGATATGGTAGTGAACCTCTGGCCCGGACTTGGGGCTTCCAATTCTGAGCATTTTGGATGCTATTGGGCTCGAAAGTGGCGCTATTTTGCCATGTTGTGGAGGGATCGTTTTTCAAGATGGCTACTTTTCCGCTTTGGGGAAAATAGGGGTCGTCTTCTTTGCGTGAAAATATCTCGAAAAGTCAATAGTCAACCCACCATAAATTGAAAAGAAAATGAAAGATGACACATTGATCATCATTTTTCTGTGCAGCTTGAATACCTGTGAGAGTTTTGAGTATTTTTAAAAGAATTTTGAAGTATGGGCATTTAGCACTAGTGTCTATGGGAGTTTATTTGCAGGTATGCACCCCCCAGGTTCGGTGGGCCTGATCAACCCAATGGTTTGTAAGAGTCAGTTTGCCCAAAGGATTTCAGCAATGAAAGACTGGTATCTGGCCGTCTATTTATGTTGGTGGTGCGTATGGTAAAACGAAAAACAAAACATGCTTTGATTTGGCATGAAGATTTAACAAACACATTCAGGCTGCGGCAAATCCAATATATTGGTTAATGATGTTTTTATTGTACATGCATGTATTCGTGTCTGAGTGTAATGAAGACATTAAATCCTGTAGCTTGTGTTGGTAATCTCGCCGTCGGTTGAATATTCTTTCCCAGAACTTGTCTGCACGGTTGACATGTACATGTGAACTCCAGTTCTCTTTCTCAATGAGCGCTACATTTCAGCATATTCCTGTTTAGATTTTCGTTCTCCAAGTTTCCGTACAACCATGTCCAACTAATATATTAAAGTGCAAGCAGCAAACCTTTGTCCAGAAATAGAAGCAAAGAATTATAAGGTTTCAACTGTACAAAGTGTACGTTACATTAACATATTAAGATAGCATGCACATGCATGGCCTTGTGCATGGCCAGGGCCCTGACCACAGTTTCCCCACATACACTTTGTTACGCAACGTTACGTAAATCTCACTCACTGGGCCGATGACCACCAGTGATTGTATGCTCTCTCATTGGTTGTATCTGTCAGTGCACAAACCATCGGCGCTGTTGTCTTATTGGCTCATTCTGGTTTGTACACGAACCATCGGTACCAATGGTTCGTGTACATTCAATTAAATGTCACTTCTATCGAGAGTGTCCGAGTAATGTAAACAACCCCCCAGTCAAAAAAGCTAACCATGAAATTTCAAAGATTCAATACTGTATTGTGTATTCAGGTTCTAGTAACCCCTTTCCCAAACATGGTTCAGTTGGCTGTAATTGTTTAGACATTAGAGCTGATTTGATACATGTAATGTCAGCCACGGTGGAATTGCCCAGATAATGAAGACATTAAATCCTGTAGCTTGTGTAGGTAATCTCGCCGTCGGTTGAATATTCTCTCCAAGAACTCTGCACGGTTGACATGTACATGTATGTATTACAACTCCAGTTCTCTTTCTCAGTGAGCGCTACATTTCAGCATACTCCTGTTTAGATTTTCGTTCTCCAAGTTTCCGTACAACCATGGAGGATGTGTTCTTATTCCTCCATGGTACAACCATGTCCAACTAATATATTATAGAGCAAGCAGCAAACCTTTTTGTCCGGAAATAGAAGCAAATATAAAGTTTCAACTGTACAAAGTGTACGTTAAGATAGCATGCACATGCATGACCTTGTGCAGGGCCAGGGCGCGTAATTTTTTTCCCTAGGAGTGTTAGGGGCAATGTCATGAATAATTCAGTTTTTCCTTTGAATCATTGCAAGACTTAGGTTCTCGTTCTATTTTCCCCTTAATTTAAAATTATCTCAGTGATAAATTTGGAGAAGAAAAACAGCTGATGAAAATGAGCAGCGACAACGTGGATTCGAACCAGGGATCTTTGTATCCATAGCTCATCTCGCTATCCACTAGGCTACTGTGTGGTAGCTCGACGACAACTGTTCTTTAAAATGCTTTAATGTATTGTAACTAGTTGAATAACCAACAACAATGCTTGATGTCATTGTCCGTTCTCATGGATAAACATGAATTATTCATGACTTTGCCCCTAACCCTCCTAGGAATAAAAATTACGCGGCCAGGGCCCTGACCACAGTTTCCCCCCACACACTTTGTTACGCAACGTTACGTAAATCTCACTGATAGCTGATCTAGGCGAGGCCACTGGGCCAACGGCCGCCGGTGGTTGTATGCTCTCTTATTGGCTATATCTGTCAGTGCACAAACTGCTGAAACCATTTACAAACGGCGCTGTTGTCTTATTGGCTCATTCTGGTTTGTACACGCCGATGGTTCGTGTTCATTCAATTAAATGTCACATCTATCGAGAGTGTCCGAGTAATAGAATACAGACCGAGTACAATGTGATTTTTTTATAACGACGGAGTTATTCCAGTCACACAGGACACAGACAAGGTTAAGTTTCGGAAAAGCTTGACTATTGGTTCCATACATAGGCCTTACACAGGCTATTCGTTATTCATTGATCTATAGAAGCCGGTAAAATATATTTATATATATCAAGTTATTAACGCCTTAGCCTTTCTTCACAGGTATAGGACGATCGAGGATATATCATGGCTCAAACGGAAGTGATCCACAGCTCTTTGACCATCGAATCATCACTGGTCTTTTTAGGAGTTTTCGTCCTTGTCGTTTGGCTTCTTCGAAGACCAAGGAACCTGCCTCCCGGGCCGACTGGACTACCTTTCATCGGTTACCTCCCAAAGTTAGCCCTGCAAGGCGACGAGTACAAATCCCTGGCCCTGCTCGCCAATACCTACGGGGATGTGTTCAGTTTTAATCTGGGCGGGCAGCTGGTGGTTGTCCTAAACAGTTACGAAGCCATCAAGAAAGCCCTGGCTCATCCAAACACCAGTGACAGACCACCGACGCCTTTCTACATCAAGGCCACACCGGACAAAGACGCTCTGGGTAAGATATAAGTCAATAGACTAATCAAAGTTGCTCATTAGATGTGGTTTTCATCCAGACTGGGACCTCGACGGAGTGCTGAAAACATGCAAAACGAAATGAGGCCAACTTTACTCCCTCTTTGACTGACAAAATTCTCCCAAACTTTCATAAGGTAAAGACAAAAGGTCCTCAGTATTTCACCAAACAAGTTTGCAGTCTCAATTCAATTTTTTAAGGAGAGTTTTCTTCAATATTTTGCACATGAGAGGGAAGTCAAGTGATTGTGGCCAAAGACCAGACTGGTACATGTCCAAAAGACTGACCTCTTCGTTGGTCTGGTGGTTGACATGGAGAAATGTGTAGAAATAGTCTTACCAATGGAGATCAATGGTATTATCAGACATGCCAGATGTTTCGTTTTGGTACAGTTGCTTGATACAGTACTTAATTAAGGGTTGTTGGACGGGTTCTTTATTTCAGGTGCCAGTCTATTCTTGTATTGCATGTTTTCAATACAAGTTTTGGGACCGTTTTACACAGTATTGAGAGCCTCCCATATTTTCGGACTAGTTTTCACCATGAATACTGAGACGCTCTAAACATCCGCCTGCCATTTGGAATAAACTCACTGCCACACTCCGTCAAACAACATCCCTGGACATCTTCAAAACAGAACTGAAATCTCATCTACTTCACTAGTTATTTCTCTATGACTTGAGCTAGACTATTTTTGTGTGTGTAGGCGCCTTGATCGGGTTTCCGGATAAGTGCGCTATATAAATCTATATTATTATTATTATTATCATCCAAATAAGGTTCGCTTTAATAAAATTTCACACAATATTAATGCACTCCCTTTCAGTGACGTGTTTGGAGCACATTTAAAGCAAGATCTGCGACAGAGGACCCCCCCCTTCGTGTCGGTCATTGTATTCCCATAATTTCAGGAATTTTTTTTGTTTAGGCTAAAAAGTTCAGGAAACATGTCCTCAGGAAAATGTTAAAGTCTACGATGCTTTCTCCTAATTTCTGAGGCAAACTACATTTAGAAACTTCAGCATTCCATTATTTTTGGACCCATTTTACTACTATCACAACATCAGTCAGCAGCTGAAGGGGGGGGGGGGGAGTTTGCAAGGCTAAAACGCCCCTCCCCTCCCACAAGTCCCAGATCCGCAACTGAGTAGACCTATGTAGTAACACTAAAAAGAGCAGCCAAAATGAATCGATAGAAATTAAATATGAAGCATTTTGTACAGACGATCATGACACGTTAAAGATCGATATGACTTCAACTGGTTCGCCCGATTGCCAACGATGATCGGGCTAACCATTTGCGAAGTTACCCCCAGTTATATATAAATAAAAACAAAATACCGGATATGTTAACAATTAAGTACAAATGTGATTTATTTTTGAGGTGTCATCCATTTTAGGTGTTGCTTCAGCATCCGGTCAAAGCTGGACCGAACAGCGCAAGTTCTCCCTGAAAGTGCTGAGGGGTCTCGGTGTCGGAAAATCAAGCTTTCAGGATGCCATTGCTGGTGAGGCAGGCTACCTGATCGGAGAGATGAAGAACCTAAACCAAAAGCCATTGAATCCGACTACATTGGTTGGTAACGCCGTCTCAAACGTCATCTGTTCCGTAACCCTCGGTAAAAGATTCGAGTATTCTGACGGCAAGTTTCAGGAGCTTTTGAGGATGATAAACAGGAACTTTGAGCTCGTTGGCGGAGGGTCTATGTACCAGTATGTGCCATTCGTGCAGTATCTAACATTCATCCCTACCTTTACAGAGGTGCAATCCAACGTTCACAAAATTGTTGGATTTCTGAAAGAAAACGTCGACGAACACCGTCAAAATTTGGATCCGGACAATCCCAGAGACTTCATGGACGTCTTTCTCGGTGAAATCCAGAGCAACGAGAGGAATAACATCAAGAGTCACATCTCGCCCAGCAACATGCTGCTGACTGTCTTCGAAATTTTCGTTGGCGGGACAGAAACCACCTCCTCCACTCTCTGCTGGGCCTTGTTGTACATGCTGGCTCACCCGGAGGTTCAGAGCAAAGTCCAGCGAGAGATAGACGAGGTGGTCGGCCGCAACCGTCTGCCTCGCATCGCCGACAAGCCCGAGTTGTCGTACACGGAGGCGACCATCATGGAGGTGCAACGCATCGCCAGCGTGGGCGCACTGGGCGTGCCTCACATGTTCTCGCAAGATACGTCAATCTTTGGCTACGATATGCCCCGCAACACCATTCTGATTTCTAACCTGTGGGCAGTCAGCCGAGACCCGAACCTCTGGCCCGAACCGGAGAAGTTTCGACCGGAGAGGTTTCTGGACGGGGATGGGAAAGTGAGGCTCCCAGAAGAACATCTGCCTTTCTCCACAGGTAAGAAAAGACACATAGAAAGAGAATAGCGTCATTGGTACTTTCGCGCGTGTTGTTCAACTTCTCAAGAAACGAAAATTTACCCCAACTGTTTTTTTCTTACCCGCAGGTCGTCGAGTATGTCTGGGGGAGCAGCTGGCTAAGATGGAATTGTTCATCTTCTTCTCTTTCCTCCTGCATCAGTTCACCTTTAAGAAACCAGAGGATGCCCCGCCCATCTCCCTCAAGGCAGTCAACGGCTTCACCTTAACACCCACTCCCTTCGAAATATGTGCGGTACTGAGGGAATGAAAATGTTTGAATAAGGAGTACCATTTCAAATCACTGAGTATATTATATAAATGTATATATAAAATCTCACCTTTGCACACAAAAGTTCTGTGCCATTTTAAAGCATAAGAGCATATTACAGGCACATTTTCCTTATGGTTGTACATACCATGATAACATAGTTTAGTTCTGAGTGTCTGTCTTATTTAATAAATTACTTCAGGTAAAAAATGCACGGAATTATAAAGTTGTAAAGTTATAATAAAGTTGACACACCGGAATACTGGTTCCACGGCTAGCCCAATGCTGCAAGAGGCCGAATTACTCAGAAAGACTTGAGCAGTGTCCATGCGCGCTGTCCTGTATCTTACAAATTTGCCTTGCAAACCGACCTTTTAAAAATGTAGTTATTGCAACACGAGAAGTCGATTAAATAATTACTTGTACTTGTTAAACTAGTCTCTTTATTCATCAGGCTTATGGAAACCATTTACTCTGCGGAGTATTTTTAAGGAGACATTTAATTCATTAATTAAAGGGGCAATCTTCGTTACTCAAAGGGCAACCTTCATGTGTTAAAGGCTATAGGCTATGCACCAAAGGCAAGGAAGTTGGAGACTAATCACCATTATCTAAAGTGTATCTGTATAATCAAGTTTATTTTAATCATTTTTTTCCATTATCAAATATACATTAACACATCAAATGAATTAAAAATCAGGCAGTTTCTTTGTGTCTGATCTGGCAACTCGTTTCCATTATTTTCATAAAACTGTCGATCTTTCAAGGTAATCCACGTATAAGTACTGGATACGATATGTATATGAATATAGACATACTACTTAAAGGCTTGGCATGTGTGAAAAACTGGTGTAGAGTACATTCAAGGAAAATACACTAAACTACTTACCATGATAAAAGCCGTGTTTTTTTTTTAATGTAAATGCATATATACACCAATAAAACAGGATCATTAATAAAGCACAGCAGTTTTATGATTTGAGAGACTGCTTTTATGGCTAGCCCTGATTTGATGGCAATGTTTTTATGTTTCTCTACTCACAATAATAATTACATTATAAAAACAAGTGCCAGCATTTATTGCTCCAAGACGAATTGTAATTTTACAATTACGGTATTGTTGATGTACCCTAACGTGGCGCGGCGCGGCCCCTAACGTGGCGCACTTTGATTTTTCGCCTGTAGCGCCTAGCTAGAGCAAAAGTTTTAACTGAAATTTCACAGAAAGTGGAATTTCATCAAGTTCTATCTCCCGTTCATAAATCTCAAATTTATCTACCCGTTACAAAGTTAGAAGAAAAATATATTTTGGCGTGATTGTCTGATTTTATTTCGAAGTGCAAAGTGAACCCATTGAAAATGCCCCAAAAAATAAGAAAATAATTTTTTGACAAACTTCTGGTTGGATATGTAAGTAGAGATGATAATGGTTTATCAGAATTTATCAACTTAACAGAAATTCTTAAATGTCAATTTGGAATTTTCCGAGATTTATTCAAGTGCGCAACGTTGGGGAGCACTCGGCCAATTTGTGCCCAATTTCCGGACGCCACCGTTTTTGAATTTTGGAAGTTAAATTTAATAACACCGAATTTGTTCACAGAGGTTAAATAGCAAGCATTAATAAGGTAAAAGTACCAGTAATGCACTGCATGATTTTAAGGTTTGTCAACAAAGAGGTTTGGCAACACTACCCGAAGAAAGTCGGGTAAACGTCGAAGTGCGCCACGTTAGGGAACGCCACTATAAAGGGTTTGGTTTCCCCCTTTTTTGCAGATTATAAAATGGCAAAACGGTAAAGGTTTTGCTTTTCCTTTTTTTTTTCTTTTTAAAAATTCAAAAACAATAATTAGTTAAGGGTTTGCTTTTCTTTTTTCTTAATTTCAAAAGTTCCAAAACGATAATTGGTAAAGGATTTTTCCTTTTTTGTTTTTTACAAATATAAAAACGGCACTTGGGTAAAGGGTTTGCTTTTCTCTTTTCTTTTCAAAAATTCAAAAGCAAGGGTTTGCTTGATCTTTTTTTCTTTCAAAAATTCAAAAACAATAATTGGTAAAAGTTTTTCTTTTTTTTCCCAGAAATTGTAAAGGATTTGTTCCTCCTTTGTTCTGTTTACAGATTTGAAAACGGTAAACGGTAAAACGTTTGTTTTCTGTTTTTCTTTTCACAGATGCATAAACGGTAATTACTTGTATGTTGAAACTACATACTAGACTAGTAGTAGTAGTAGAAACATGTATTTCAATGTTGCCATTTCCACACAATAAAATCTTACAATGCCGTGTAAACATATTATACAGAGCAAAATGCAAGGAGTTATGTAATTGTGTATAATAATGTACATGGATCAATACTAGAACAAATTTACGACAACATTTAGGTATAAGGTGAAGCGTCACGCTTTTGTACCCTAACCTATCGACAGACAAGTGGACATGACCAAGAAAAACAGAGACAGTGACAAAGGACAAAATGGACAACAGTGAGACACACAAAGACACAACCTAGAAAAACACAAACTGGTATGAGACGAGGGCATACATCTAGATTCATACATTATAACTAGTTATTCGAATAAACGTGGAAAAACACAAACTGGTATGAGACGAGAGCATGCATCTAGATTCATAAATTATAACTAGTTGTTCGAATAAGAATTGAGTAGATGTGATCTAAGATTTTTAACAAAGACAGAGAAGGAAGGTGCTGATTTTAAGAAGTCATCTAGACTATTCCAGTATGATGTACCACGTTGAATAACGCTATTTTTAGACAATGTTGTTCTGTTGAATTGGACATATAAATTTCTCCTACTAGTGCTTCGGGTATTATACAAATGAATATCAGATGTGAGAATAAAGAAGGGGTTGAAACAAGTAGGTAATGCATTGTGTGTAAACCTATACATACATTTTCCCAGGTTAAAGTAGTATAAGTCATTGAATTGTAAGAGTCTCAAATTCGCAAATAAAGGAAGGGTATGATCACGATAACCAGTATGAGATATTAATCGGACTGCTCGCTTCTGTAACTTGAGCAGTTTGTTGCATTTGGATGGTGAACCACCCCAAGTCAAAATTGAATATTTTAGATATGGCAAAATAAAGGAATTGTACAAGGTTAGTAAGATTCTACTGGGAAGGTAATATTTTAAACGATTCATTATGCCTACATTTTTTGATATTTTTGTCGCTATATCATCGATGTGTTTTTTCCAAGTGAGATTCTCGTCATTAATTATGCCCAAGAATTTAGTGCTTTTTACTTGACTTAGATTGGAATTGTTTAAGATTAAGGGAACCAATTGAGTGTATTTATACTGATGGGCACAAAAAATCATATATTTCGATTTCAACAAATTAATGCAAAGTTTGTTAGCTAAGAGCCACGTACTAATTATTTTCAATTCAACATTAAGGTTTCTAATAGCAGTATCAACATTTTTATGAGTATATAATAAACTAGTGTCATCGGCAAATAAACAAAATGAAATAATGTCAGAGGTGTTAATGATATTATTAATATAAATGATAAAAAGTATTGGGCCTAATACAGAACCCTGTGGTACCCCACAAGTAATATCTCGATAGGAAGAGTTTACAGAATTATATGACACGTACTGCTTTCTATTACTCAAATAACTTTTAAATAAGTCAAGTGCTGTTTCACGCACACCGTAGTGTTCCAACTTGCTTATTAAACAATCATGATTGACTGTATCAAAAGCTTTTGACAAGTCTAGAAATATGCCAATCGAAAAGATTATTATGTTCAATCGCGGTACATATTTTACTTAGAACATAGGATGTCGCCAGATCAGTTGACCTGTTTTGTCTAAAACCAAATTGTGCATCAGACACGATATCGTGCTTGTTCATAAAAGATATTAATCTTGTGTAAATTAACTTTTCAAATAATTTGGAAACTGTGGACAATACCGATATGGGTCTATAATTACCAATATCATGCTTACAACCTTTTTTGTAGATTGGTGTAACCTGTGCTATTTTTAAATCATCAGGAAATACTCCAGCTGTCAAGCACTTATTAAATATGTCAGCCAAAGGCTTCGCTATAGAATACCGTGCTTGTTTAATAACAAAAGAACTTAAGCCATCAAATCCAGGAGCCTTGCCAGAAGGAAGTTTGTTAAGATTATCCACAATCTCTTGTGGGGTAACAGGTGACAAAAAGACTGAGTTCGAGCATGGGGTCTTTAGAAATGAACGAAAAGAAGTGTTACATGACGGTAGTTTGCTATCAAGGTTATTGCCAATATTGACAAAATAATTATTAAATGCCTCAGCAATCTCCATGTTACCTTCAAGATTAGTACCGTCTTGGTTAAAAAAGAAGGGTTAGCATTTTGCTTGCACTTATTAGAAGAGAATTAATAATATTCCAAGTACCTTTAATATTGCTTTTTACTTCATTGAATTTTTTTTTGGAGATAACTTTTTTTGGATAATTTAATAAGAGAGTTAAGTTTATTTTTGTAGCAGGTATAGACAGATTTATTATGCGAAGTGGGTTTCTTCCTGAATTTTCTATACAAATAATGTTTACGCCTAATTGAAGGGTAAATACCGTCAGTTAGCCAAGGGGATTTGAGTTTATCATAACGGCATTTTACCTCGTGTAAGGGAAAGTTTTTGTTATAAATGTGTGTAACATGTAACAGAAATGTATTGTACATACTATGAATATCATTTGATGACGTTATTTCATCCCATTCAGTATCATTCAAGTCATGAATAAAATTGTCAATATTATTGTGGTTAAAGTCACACTTTTTACATTTGCGATCAGGGTGCTCTCTTTCTTTAAGGTTTTCAACTATTAAAAATACTGGAAGATGGTCACTGATATCGGTCACCAAAACACCGGCAGGATGAGTTTGATAAACATTGGTAAAAATATTATCAATAAGAGTTGCACTTTCCGTAGTAATCCTGGTTGGTTTGTCTATAGTAGGATAGAAAGAATGAGATAATAATGTATTCATGAAGCTTTGAACGCTATTATCAGTATCACATTCCATTAAGTTGATATTATAATCGCCCATAATGTAACACGATTTGTTCTCATTATCTATTTGTGATAATATTGTATCAATACTCTCAATAAAGTCATTACATGTCACGAAAGGAGGTTTATAAACAATTCCAACGATAATATTCGCGTTACCTGCGTTAACAAGTTCAATAAAACATGATTCAATATCAGAATTAGTAAGACATAAGTCAGTGCGATTTATATAAGCTGTCACGTTTCATATATAGTGCAACACCACCACCTCTTTTGTTTTGTCTACAGTTACCTTCAATAGTGTAATTAGGTATTTGTATTAAGGAGTCATGTATATCCTTTAACCAGGTTTCAGATATTCCAATAACTGCGAAACTCTTTTGTAATATATTTAAATATTCAATAATGCTTGATATGTTTCTTGGTAGACTACGAGCATTGAAATGCAGCAGCTTTATATCATTGCTTTTGCTGAAATTATCTAAAAACCCATCTTCACTATAATAATTACAGTTATTGTAAGGAATATCAAAATTAACATCCGGATCTATGTCGGAATTCATAAACAAGTTTTTACTTAATTGCTGATTAACAATACATCTTATCATTTCAACACCATTCTACACAATAAACAATCAAATCATCCTGATTTTGGTATTTGTGCTTGCAGCAGCAACCGGGTACGACGACCCAATGTTTTAATTACATCTTTCAATAATTCGAACCTTTAAAGACTTGATAGTATTTACAGAACTATCATCTATTATCTAGGCGTAAGAGCCTTTCATTATAGACACATTTAAGTGATCAATTAATTATACAGAATTATACCTGAGACAACACTCTTTTTGCAATTGTTATGATTAATTATAATTATTCGTACCCCATTTGATATTATGTTTAGTCTCATCGCTGTGATGACTACCAGGTACGACAGTGTTTTAATAACGATCATTCAATAATTTGAACCTTA